CAAAACGACACTTTCTTACTATCGGACGGTGGGCGCTTCCAGATATTCCCTTGCATCGACGCCCGCCGCCGCTGGACCCCGTGGGCGTGCTCTCTCGTTTTCTGGCGCGCTGTGAACAATTCGGTGCGCGCACCGCTCTGCACCCCCCCCCCTCCCTCGATCGCCTTCATCCGCCGGCCCGAATCAAAACTTCGGCCCGATTCCGGCGCGCAGCGGAACACAACCTCCTCCCCCGGGCCGCTCGCGCTTAAGGGGTAGGATTATTTCCATTGCACATATATCTGCGCACATGATTTATTTTTATTTTGATTAGTTTGCAATGAACCCAGTCTGGAAGATACTCATCAGATGTCGAAATACAATAAATCTCAGTTCTGAATAATGTCTCTAAATAATCGTGAATGTGATATGTGATACAATGTCTAGTAAGCAATAGACGAAGAGAGGAGGAGGGGAATATACAGCTAAAAGGGTGGAAAAAATATTCATCAATGACCATAAAGACAGCAGCCCAACATTTCTCTCTCCTTCTCCAGGCTTCCCCCTCGCCTCCACGTCAACCAACAGTGTCCAATAATAGCCTGACGGGGCCTGATCACATCAAGAGTGCCATGTGGCACAGATCTCTCGTGAAGACGTTCAGCGGCGCACAGTATCGACATCAACAACAGGTAAGTCTCTTGTTCTCTCTCAATCATCCACATATCCCGATCTCCCTCCTTGTTGCGTCCAACTCAGCAATGTAGACGGTGTGGCAAATGCCACGTCAGCAATGACGACAGAGTGGCATGCGCCACATCAGCAATGTCGAAGACAACGTGGCCTTGCGCCACGTCAGCAAAGGTTGGCGCCGAAGCAGAAAAGCGCCAGCATGCAGGCAGCAGTCTTGTGTCATCGTCCACAGTGTCAGCATCCAACCAGCGTCTAGCCAGCGTCCAACCAATGTTAAGCAAGTGTCCAACTAGCGTCAAGCCAGCGTCTAAGTAGCGTCAAGCGAGCGTCAAGGCAGCATAGCAACACTGAATGTTGACTCCCTGGAGGCAGGGTCTTATGTAGCATTTGACCAGGTAGACCTGCCTCAGGTCTCCCACCCACAATGGCTTAGATTGACTCGCAGCCGACGGTCTGGATCCCATATAGTTGCAAACTTTCACTTGGCCTAAATGTTGTTCTGGTACGTGCATACAAACAAGTGTGTGTGTCTGACCGACGGTATGGGTTGGGTCCACGGTGACTTTGACTGAGGTCCGTGGACAGTTGACTTTCAGTCAACTGTCTGGCGCAGGGGCCCTGATTCCAATTTTGGGGTCCTGCCTCTTTTGCGGCTTGAAGCCGACGTCAGGCCTAGGGGCCCCTAGATAGGTTACGAGGCATAACAAGCGGATTATTACATTCCTGTCGACCCGATTTTCGAGTTCCATCGAAGAAATACATTAACTTTCTTTTAACCCACGTTCATATGCAGCAATGATGCCAGGGGCAATAGGTAGGAGTTGTTTCTGACTGAACCATCTAGCTTCAGATGGAGGTTGAGACTTGAACTTCACCTTATACTGCTTCTGCGGTCTTCCTCTGCCACCTGTAGAGAAGTAGCCATGTTCCAACATCTTTTCAACTTCATAACCTTCATTCATGGAGGGTGGGAACATAGATGGTTTGATGTGCAAAAGTTGGTGGCACAGATGATTCATCTGTTCAGTTTGGCCGTTCGTTTCAGGGTGTCTACCGGACGACATGGTCAACCTAGTGCCATAGACTTCCATCAACTTTTTCCATTGTAGACCGGTAAACCAAACATCTCTGTCAGAGACGATGGTTTTCGGAAATCCATATTCGGAAACCCATCGCATCTGGAACTTCCGGATGACCAACTTTGTTATAGCTTCGACAGACAAGGGAATGAACATTGCATACTTTAAGAATCTATCGACAATAACCATTAACAGACTATTGTCATTTCGGCTCTTAGTGAGGCTCATAAAGTCAATTGAGATTGACTCACCTGGCTTACTTGGAATTGGTAGACGTTCCAGTAGTCCCAATAGATTCTCATGAGAAGGCTTATTCCTCTGGCAAACAAGACAACTCCGCACATAGGTTAGCACATTTTTTTTCATCCCTTTCCATTCAAAGCGTTCTCTCACATCGGCATGCGTCTTCTTAAGACCGAAGTGTCCTTCAATATCATGACATTCCCCAATAATTAGACTTTTTATTTGTTCTTTGTGAGGAACCACAATCTTTCTTTGGCCTTATCGATAAAGAAGAGTAGACCATCAGTAATTCAATATTCGAGAAATAGTTCAGGGTTTCTCTGTAGGGTCCCAATAATAGGACTCCATATAGGATCATTTGCATACCCCCTACAAATTTGCTCTTTCCGTTCATTCCCAATATCGAGATGGGAGACAATAGTTTTCAAAAAAATCAGCACGCTTGGACAAAGCATCCGCAACCACATTAGACTTTACTTTGATTGTCTTCAATTCAAAGTCAAATGTGTCAATAAAAGCGGACCATCTCACTAACTTGTCAGAGAGCCTAGGTTGGGTCTTAATCCACTTCAGGGTAGAGTGGTATGAGTAGACAGTAAAGTGTCTCCCTAGCAAGTAGTGTTTCCACGTGTCCAGTGCAGCAACCAAGGCGTACAATTCCCTTTCGTAAGTGGAGTTGGCCACTTTCTCAGACGGAAACCTTTTATACAGAAGCTCGATAGGTCTATATCCCTTACCGTCATCTTGCTATAGCACAACCCCAATTTCATACCGACTTGCGTCAGTGGTGACAATTAAAAGGCGAGAAGGATCACCAATCTTTAAGACAGGGTAGTGAGTCTGTACATGTTTCAACTTCTTGAATGAGGAATCACAATCTTTGTCCCACAACCAAGGTTTTCCTTTCTTCAGTAGTCTTCTCATAGGGGCAGTTATCAAAGAGAAGTTTCTTACAAACTTCCTATAATAACTAGCAAGTCCTATAAAAGATCTGAATTCAGAGACAGTCTTAGGTTGGGGCCAATCTCGAATTTTTGTTATCTTTTCTTCATACCTTAGTCCTTACTCGTTTACTATATGCCCTAAGTACAAGACCTCAAGCTTAGCAAACTCAGACTTCTTAGGATTCAGTTTGAAGTTGTCTTGCGCAACTTCTGTAGAACCATTCGTAGGTGCTTCTCGTGATCCTCAAGTGTCTTGCTAAACACGAGGACATCATCGAGGTAGACAACTACGAACTGAGCCAGCCATTGACGAAATAGTCCCTTCATAGACCTTTAAAAGGTGGCAGGAGCATTAGTCAATCCGAAAGACATAACCACGAACTCGTAGTGATCATACAAGGTTCGCAAGGTTGTCTTATGTTGATCCTCAGGAACCACCTTGATCTGGTGGTACCCTGACTTGAGATCAATCTTACTAAAGTACCCTGCAATTGGTCCAACAAGTCATTAATGCGTGGAGCTGGTTCCGTGTTTTTTATGGTGACGACATTCAACACACGATAATCAATACATAATCTAAGTTCACCTTCCTTTTTGGGCACAAATAAGACAGGAGCACCACAAGGAGATGAGTTGGGGCGAATCCATCCTTTTAAAGTTAGTTCTTGTAGTTGTTTCTTGAGTTCCTCAAGTTCTCTAAGAAACATACGATAAATGGGATCTTTAGGAATCCTACTACAGGGAATAATCTTAATTGTGTGCTTAATAGCACGTTCAGTGATTCTCGTTGGCTTTGTTTGCAAGTCCTTATATTCGTGAAGTAGTTTTTCAATAGGAGGAGGATAGGATGAGGAACATTCACCTACTCGTTTGACGAGCACAATCATCACATCCTGGTCCAACTTCTTCTTTACGACCATATTTCTAAAGGTTGGGTAACTCGTGCAACAAAAAGACAATATCGAGTTAGAGTCAAACCTGAGATACAATTTTATTCCTCTAAGTTCGGACTTTTCGTCCTTGAGTTTGACAATCTTATCTTTGAATTTAACTTATGTGTCGGCTTCCTCGTGCCAATCTCTACCAAGAATCATATCAAAGGGTATTTTTTTTTCAATTAGGAAGGATATCTCATGCAAAATTTTATTTCCTTCCTTGATTCGAAAATAACATTTCACACAATCGACATACTGAGAGACGGTGATCATGCTCTTGTCAACCAACATAGACGTGATAGGTTTTGGCAAGTCCCTTACCTTCATTCCGAGATGCAACTTACAAATTGTCTTTTCTGAGATGTAGGACCGTGTCGATCTAGGGTCTAACAAGGCACCTACTCGCGTACGTGTAATCTCAATATCTACGATCATCAACTCACCCTTAGACTTTGCTTTCTTAGCCCACGAACTTCTTAACCAAGTTCGTAAAGGGAATCGTCCAGGAGACAAAACAAAAAATTGTGTCAGGGTGTTCTACACGATGGGCCGAAGAAGATTCATCCTCTGCCATATGAGTCGAGGGGTTGAAAGGGGTGATCGGCGCCTTACCTTCAACTAAACCCCTTAACTTGGTAGGAGCAGATGCTACTCCTCCCTTTTGGGTTTTGATTGAGGGGGCACCATGCTATGATGTGCCCTGCAGTGTCGCACTTAAGGCACTGCCTGTTATCCATTCGTTGTTGTCACTCTTCCCGTGACAAACCCATCTTTTCCCAAGGTTTTCCGGCTGCAATGTCAGGGTGCTCGGGAAAGGAGCGTGGTCTCCTCTTCCTTCTCCAAGAATTGGTACCTCGCTTGTTGGTCACGACAACAGTGACGTCACCCTTTCCTGACTCACTGTTGCCACCTCCTCCCTCGACCTCATTAAGGGGTAGTTTTTCTACAGTGTGGTCGTCAAAGACAACGAGCATGTGGTCCTGTCGCTTTTGTCGCCACAGGACTCGCTTTCCATACTCGACAACCGGACCACTCTTCACGATAGACGTGTACGGTTCCCTTTACCTGAGCAGTCATTTGCTCCCTCTGGAGCGCGAGGTTGCGAAACTGTCAATAGTTGTACTTACCGGACTTGGCCTCTGCAACGAGATGTCCTCGGATGGGTTCCGACAATGCTCGCGAAAAGATATGAAGGACTTGATTGTCTTGCAGGTTCAGACTAGGTACCTGCAACAACTGATCAACTTCACACGACAATGCATCCACAGTCGTCCAACGCTTTTGGCTGATGGTGGTGAGCTCGTCAAAGGCCTTATCCGCCGTCGTTTTGTCCAAGAATTTCTCCTTAATCTTTTGGAAAAATTCCCGGAGGGTCAAGGTTTTGGCCCACTCACCTATGTCCTCGAAGCCAACAACATTGGCTTCAGACAAGACCCATTCCTTTGCTACCTCACCTAGACATGAGGTAGTGAAAGCCACTTGGCTTTCTGGCTCTACCGGTATCGTGCTACAGTATGTCTGAATTTCTGCAATCCAGAGCAAGAGATGTTCACCTCGCTTTCCATTATAGGTAAAGGGTAATTTCATCTTCACTTTTTCTTTTATCTTCGGCTTTTCTACCTCCTTGGCCGGTTCCTGCTTAGCAGGCTCTTCTTTTTGTTCCGCCGGTTTCTCAGGTTCCTTCTTGGAAGTTTCGGGTTTTTCCGGTGTCACTTTTGTGACCTTCATTGCATCCTTCATGAGCTTCTCCTGGGGTTCTTTCTTCTCTACCCCCTTGACCTCCTCCTCAATCACCTTGTCTTTCCCTTTAATGAGTCTAGTCATTGTCTTAATTGCGACGGTGTTACTGTCAATCTTCAGTTCGAGATGTGCGAGGTAAGCAATCAAATTATCCAAAACAGATGCAAGGTCAGACTCGATTCCTTCAAAGTGAAACCGCTGTCTGATTTTACCCACTTTTCTCTCTTGCTGTTTCTTTCTCTATCTTCATTCTTCGGTATTCTTCTATCTTTCTTTTCTCTGCATTCAAGGTTTCTTGGAATTGTTTGATGTTTGTCATCATAATCTCTTCAAAGAACTCTGGTTCTTCCCTCTTTTCTTTATTATTTTCTCCTTCTTCTTCTTTGGGCACGTTACCAACATTCTTAGCCAGCTGCTTGACAACATATTGATCGAGGGCCATTTGGCCCCGATCAATAGTCTTTGCACTCTACGGCTCACTTTCAGCATTTGAACAACTTGTCAGACTCCTTCAGTTAAGTTTCTGCAGCACACAGATTGAAGTGGTTGCGTACGTGTTGTTCAGCCTCTGGACCAGCGTCCTGCAACTCAATCCACAACTAGTTACGACGGGTCAGCATCTGCGGCCGTCTATTCTCAATTTGGCCATGTGTCCTCGTTTCACCACCTTCCTCATCAGCGAAGAAGGTGATGGGGACAAGCAAGAGAAAGAGAGGGATGAAACGAGTCAAGACAGAGAGGCCCAGAGAATTCCAGAGGTATGACATGTTCAAAATGTGTGTCTGTTGCACAATAAATAATTATAAGACAATAATAAATTCCACGGCCACACTTGGTTTCAATCTACTACAGCAAGAATAAATAAACAAAATTAAAGAGGAACAAATTTCAATATACTCCTATTTCTAACTTCTGTTGTATGCCCTATGTGTGATGACGTCCTAAAGAGAGTGTACAGGTACCGCAGCCACAACCAGTGTGATCAAGACACAACAACACAAGTGAGTATGCACGGCAACCACAAAACAACCAAGACAAGTGATTAAGTCAGCCAACACAACAACAACATCAATTGTCAGCATCCTTTCCTCTTTGGCTGCACCATCTGCAGATACCAATGCGGCCAGACACAAGGGCCGACGCGTGGACTAAAGCCAATCGTGAAGTTGTATCCCCCCCCAGCACACAAGTGCAAGTATCACTTCCTCACCCATGACAGCGCACAAAGTCTGCCACGTGTCACCCTTGGAATGCCAACACAGCAGCTCCACGGAGTCTGCCACGTCAGCGTCAATGGCCAGTAAGGCCTTCGGGAGGGATGCCACGTCAGCAATGCACTAACTGCCAACTCATCCACCACTGGTATGCCACGTCAGATCGAAGTAGTACTGCTGGAGTGTGGAGCGCCACATCAGCAGGTAAGTCGCGCCACAGGTACGTGCCACGTCAGACAATATCCTGCCAATCCTAGAATGCCACGTCAGCACCCCTGCGCCATGCCTTGTAGGCAGCGCACCACGTCAGCAGTCCCGATATGCCACCCTCTCTCTCTCTCTCTTTCACCAGCGCCACGTCAGCCTGCAGCCAACGATCCTCTCGCCGGTATCTGATTGCCAGGTCAGCAACAAAGTGCCACGTAAGCAATATTGCCGTCTTCACTTCAACAGGTCCACGTCATCATCTTCGAGGGATAGTGCATGCGCGCGGCTGTCAATGTCTAGATCGCGATAATAATCGCGAGCATCTATAGACGCGATTCATTCCAACACGCGGCACCTCCCACTTACCTGGTCGCCACCCTGCATCTGACAGCAGATCGCGACGAAGAAGGTATGCTCCGATACCAAATTGTAATGAACCCAGTCTGGAAGATACTCGTCAAATGTCGAAATACAATAAATCTCAGTTCTCAAAATGTCTCCAAATAATTGTGAATGTGATATGTGATACAATGTCTGGTAACCAATAGACGAAAAGAGGCGAGCGGGAATAGACAGGTTAGAGGGTGGAAGAGATATCCATCAATGACCACAAAGATAGCAGCCCAGCATTTCCCTCTCCTTCTCCGCGCTTCCCCCTCGCCTCCACGTCAACCAACAGTGTCCAATAATAACCTGACAGGGCCTGATCACATCAAGAGTGCCACGTGGCACAGATCTCTCATGAAGACGTTCAACAGTGTACAGTATCAACATCAACAGCAAGTAAGTATCCCGTTCTCTCTCAATCATCCACAGATCCCTATCTCCCTCCTTGTCGCGTCCAACTCAGCAATGTAGACAGTGTGGCAAATGCCACGTCAACAATGAAGACAGAGTGGTATGCGCCACATTAGCAATGTCGAAGACAGCGTGGCCTTGCGCCATGTCAGCAGAGGCTGGCGCCGAAGCAAAAAGGCGCCAGCGTGCAGGCAGCAGTCTCGCGTCATCATCCACAGTTCCAGCGTCCGGCTAGCGTCAAGCCAGTGTCCAGCCAGCGTCAAGCCAGCGTCCAGCTAGCGTCCAGCCAACGTCAAGGCAGCATAGCAGGACTGAATGTTGACTCCTTGGAGGCAGGGTCTTATGTAGCATTTGACCAGGTAGACCATAGACCTGCCTCAGGTCTCCGACCCATGGTGGCTCATATTGACTCGCAGTCGACGGCATGGATCCCATACAGTTGCAAACTTCCACTTGGCCTAAATGTTGTCTTGGAATCCTTTAGACCGCGTAGACCGTTTGAGGGACTTAACCGGGACCAGATTCACAGGCTACCGAAGTCAAGGGCGGAGAGGATGGGCCGTCCTACACAGTAGAGATACCAGCACACCTCCATACCTACCCTGTGTTTCACGCATCAAAGTTGCTGCCGTGTGTCACAAGTCAACAGTTTCCATCTAGACGGTCCATGATCCCTCCGGACATGGACGGAAAGTACGACATTGACGGCATCGTAGGTGAAGATGTGTTTAGAACAGGAGGTAGAGGTCGCCCACAGAAACAGTATAAGGTCCGGTTTGCTTATCAGGAACCGGAGGACGATCGCTGGTTCACTAGAACAGAACTTCTAGAAACAGCTCCCGACATAGTTAGAGCCTATGAGAGCGATAAGAAAGGAAAAGGTTGTGCCTTGGACTGAGTTCTTCTCGGAGGACCTCGAATTTAGGCCGGCGGGAGTGAAACGGTTTTCACCTGTCAGCAGTAGCGAGTGCAGATCCCAGGGCTCGATCCCTAGTCCTCACCTTACCTGTGTACAGTATTTGTGTTGACCCCGAGAGTTGAACCCGTGACCTGTGTATGTGTAACAGTTGGTAGACTGTCGTAGGGTCCGTAGGTGGTAGGGGTTCGATCTGTAGACCTGTCAGGTAGGAGTCTTAGTCAGGTCTAGAACTCGTAGCTGTAGCTTTCCCGAAAGGTCAAGGTTGTAGCTGCTACAGTCCAGAAAGGTCAAGGTCATAGCTGCCACAGTATCGAAAGACCAAGTCTACGGCCTTCCGGAAGGTCCGAGTAGTGGCCTTTCGAAGTTGCCCATGTTTAGGCTGAGGCAAGTGGGCAAGTGGTGGCGTCTACCCGTGCTGAGTCAGCAGTCAATCCTAGTCCAGTCAAGTAAGTACCGCATGGGACTGTGTGCACCACGGGCATGGGAAAGGACCAGACCAGCGAGCTACAGAAGTATAAATCAAAGGGCAGCGTCCAGCCATTCATTCATTCCTGCGTGAGCCATGCGGAAGCGCTGCCACAGCGGCTTGTGCGAGGTGGTCTGCAGTGAGCCCGAAGACGAAGTGGGTGAGAGAGAAGGAGTTTAGCCATAGCGATAGGGTAGCAGCGGCCATAGCCACCATAGCTGTAGATAGAGTTCAGCGTGTGTGTGTGTGTGTGTGTACAGAGTATCGTGTGTGGGATATCCAGGGTGATCCTGCGTGTGCGAACAGAGAGTTGTACAGGCGCTGTGCCGCCATAGCCAATTGAAGTGAACTTGTATCTTAGCTGTGTTCTTGGTTACCATATCTCTGAGTTCTGAGTGGGCGCTTGTCGCCAGTGCGCATCCTGTTTACATGCATGTAAAGTGTGAATGAAAGCGAGTCTGATTGCAAGGTTCCGCAAAGTTTCGGCTTTCACAAAAATGCGATCTTGAAAAAAAAATTGCAAAATAGAGTAGAGATGCGACTTTCAGAAAAGAACTAAATCCAGTTCTGAGAATATGACAACCTCCTATTATGCCTAAACGAAATGCTGATAGGTTTCGCAAGATTTTGGTTTTCAAAAAAAAATTTGCGAGACAGAATGGAGATTCGATTTTCGGAAAAGGATCTGCTTTCCGAGAATATGACCACCTCTATCATTATCCTAACTTGCCTAGAAAACGAAATGCTAATCTCAGAAATTTTCGGCTATGTATGTGAATATCAGAAATTTCGGATGCTAATATCAGAGAAACGAAATGCTCCTTTCAGAAATTTTCAGATATTTGTTGGGTGAAAACGAAATGCTAATATCACAAATTTCAGATAAAACGAAATGCTATTATCAGAAATTTTCAGATATTTGTTGCGAGAAAGAAAAAAAAATTCAGAGATTTGACGAAGTCCTACTTGATTTACTAATAAACAATCAATAGATCAAGCAAGCTGGCTACTTGATTGCGGGGGTCCTCTGATTGAGAGGTCCGCTCCGATACCAAACTGTTGCATACCGTAACGGTGCAGACCAGAACAAGAATCGACCTCTCTCACAAAGTACAAGATAGCGTAGTGGAAGACTTAGATACCAATGATCCGAACAATCAATGTTGCAATGCAGCCTCAAACATACATCATCATCATTCCGTGGTGTGAAGGGGCCTGGCGCTCACACAGGAAGAACGCGCCAGTCCCCAACCATACACAGACGAAGAAGAGGGGGGKTTAGACGAAGAAGAAGGGAAGATGGGAATGTCGTCAACACCAAGTCTTCGGTACAGGTCCCAAATAATCCCTCGTCAAATGTCTGAATCCCATGTCGAGTCTGGATCCAATGTCGTCAAGTCTCAAAGTCACAACTCTCTCTCTCTCTCTCTCTCTCTCTCTNCTCTCTCTCTCTCTCTCTCTCTCTCTCTCTC